AAAAGAGGGTACAAGGAGTCCTTATTGCTCCCTACAACTCCCTTGCAGCAGGTTGGAGCTGGGGGTGGGTGTGTTTCAGGCTCTTCCCTCAGGCAACAAATGTGTTGTGGTTTAATCAGGACAAGAGAGAAATGGCCTCAGGTTTTGCCAGAGAAGGTTTAAATGGGATATTAGGAAAAATTTCTTCACGTTAAGGATTGTCAGGCATTGGAACAGGCTCTCGAGGGAAGTGGTGGAATCACCATCCCTGGAGGGATTTAAAAATCATGTAGAAGTGGCACTTGGGGAGATGGTTAATGGTGGGCTTGGCAGTGTTAACAGCTGGGCTCAGTGATCCTGGAGGTCTTTTCCAATCGAAATGATTATGTGATTTACAAGGTGTTTTTTAGCTCCAGACAGGCTCTGGGCTGATCCTGCAGCCTGAACGCCCATCAGTGGCTAGGGAGCATGAGGTGCATTCCTGGAGCATATTGGGTTTGGTTTCATCTGAAAGGAATCTGGTTGATACTGGCCCAAGCCAGACCTCTCCTGAGCTGCTCCAGGACACAATCCAAAAGTGGGGGAAGTTGTGAGATGGATTTCAGAAGTGCACCCCAGAGCCAAATTAATGGAGCAGGCACAGCCCAACAGAACTTTAGGGGAAAGGGACTTCCCTGTCTTTGCAAGAGAGCTGCTTGGCCCCTCTCCTCTGCCCCAGCAATAGAAGGACCCAAGGGAGTTACCTAAGGCCCTGCTGAGGCCCTGAGGACACCCAGTGGTCTCAGGTGAGGGCCTATCCACCCATCTGCTGCCCACTGGGCTGGGGATTCCATTTAAGGCTAGATCAGTGCTGTGAGCACTCTCCAAGCTGTGCTGCAGGTCCAGCCTTCTCTCCTGGCCCCACTTCAGGCTGGGGTGGGCAGCCCCATCTCATGGATGGACCGTGGGCAGCAGGTACAGGCAGCTTTGGGTGACCCTGATCCTGCTGCCCCTCCTTAACAGGAGTCCAAACCACGCCAATAGAGGTGCTCCAGCTTCTCAGGCTGATCCTCTCCTTCCCTGGTGATGGAGCCCAGCATGGGCAGTGTGAAATCCTGGTGAGCAGAGGGATGTGCTGGGGTGGGACATGCTCATCTGGTGTCTGCAGCAGCAGCAGCAGCGAGGTGATGGCTGGGGCAGCTCCAGGGGTGAGCTCCAAGCTGTTATCCAGCCCTCTGCCTTTTCTGGACCAGCCCATCCTTCCATTGTGTAGGACAGGGGACTCTGTCCCTGCGGGGCAATGCACACATTCCCAGCTTCCTTGCAGCACTCCCAAGCCCTCCACAGTGAGAGAGGTGCACTTTAACAGCTGGACAGGACTGGCCTCCCCCAGGCTGCAAAAAGGGCAGAGCAGTACATACACAGACCCACACACCTACCAGCAGTCGTTTGACCAGACCACAACCCCTTCAAGTCGTGCTGGCAAGAAAAATCCACATGAAGCTTGGACAAGGGCTTGTGTCCATGCTTATCTTAGCTATTCTGGGCACTGTGTGACTGACTATAGTGTCATTCATCTTCCTTTGAACCTTTGTGCTACCAAAAGGAAGTCCATTAAAGTGCAGCTTCACAAAGATTATACTTGGTGACATTTGAAAGCGTTAACATCCCCAGTACAGGAAAAAAGAACAGAATGGTCTTTGTATGAATATGGATAAATAAGGAAATGGAGAACCTACATTAAAATGGGTGCATGATTTGAGCAGCAACCTCCTCTGAACTCCTGTTTCTTGAGTCTTAAAATATGAAATGAGCAAAATTGTTCATCATATTCATCTGGTATCTGAGAGGCAAACCCCAGTCTGGTCTTCCTTCCAGCAGCCCTTCTCTCCCTGAGGCAGGTCACTCCTGCAGAGGGAAGTGCATTCCCTGGCTTCTCTCTCCTTCCCTTTTACAAACATTTCCCTCAGCCTAACCTACTCGGTTTTTCTATTTACAAAGCATGACTCCAGCTCTTTACATAAATATGTTTCATTGAAGAGGGCCTGAGTCACTGCTGTATCAATATGAATATAAATAAATATTGGAAATCTAAGACTATTTACTTGCTTTACATTGGAAAAGGGTGGAAAAAAGAAGGTCTTCCTCCAGAACCTCTCAGATGTCTGAAGCAGCCTCCTGCACAACAACCTGTGTGACTGACAGAGCTCAGAGATCAACACTCCCTTGGGAAGGGGTCCAGGCAGCAGTGCCTCCAACCCTCTAAATGGTGGATTTAACTTCCCCTTTGGTTTCACTCTCAGACCAAGGCTCTTGTTGCCTGTTCCTTTTAAATTAAATAATCCCTTTAACCCCCTTGTTCTGCCTTTTCTCCGTAGGCTTTTTGTACACACAGTTCCATTCATCCCAACCTTAGTGCTGGTTATGGGTCACCCCAGTCCTCCTCCTGTGTGTAACATCTGCATGCCAAGCAACTGATCACAGGACTTACCCTGTGAGTTGTTCCAATTCTCTTATTAGGACCTTCCAAAAATAAAAATAAGTTGTAACTTGAGGCATACCCATCACCACAGGATGGCACACAAGGCAATGTGCTGAACACAGCCACAGCAGCATAGTGGTGAGTAATCTCTGAAATAAAAGCAAAATAGTTATGAGATGTAAAGGTAGCTGCAATTCAGCTACAGCTTTGGGTCACCATCCTTTAAAAAATATTCAAGACGTCAAAACCACTGCACCAAGGATAAATAGTTGGAGTTTCTGCATCACCAGCTACGCTGCTGTTTTCCCAAGAAAATATGATGTTTTCTGGTTTGGTGCTTCTTTGTAATGCTTTTAGTTCTCACTCTATTTGTCTGTTCCAGTTAATGAAAAACCTCATTCCAGTCACCTCAGCCCAGCCCCAGTGGAGGGCTCCATGTCCCCTAATCCTGGATATCCCCCTGCAGATGCACAGCATGGGTAGATGCCATGCCTATGGAGAAATGTATGGACAGTCTATACACACACATCTTCAAGGGAATACACAGGAGCTCGCTCTGGGTTACCTTGGGGAAGTGGAATTTTGAGGAATTAAATCAGTATCTATCCAGGGGATACCTTGATTTTCCATGGGCAGGCACCAGGATCCTTCCCACAGTTCAGGTGTTCCCAAGCCACACACGGCACATCCCCAGAAATCCCACACTTGTGGCAGTAACACTGTGTTGCTCTGACCCCCTTATGACACAAACAATATTCCTGATTTCCCATAAATATTTACTACGATGGTCAAAATAGTAGAAGCAAATACACCAAGTATTTCTATGGTTAATACAACTAATGAGAGGTAGATCTACCACCATAGGAAAAAAAAAGGATTTTTCTCTATTGGAGACAGATACATCTTGCAAGTAGATATTTTTAATTATTTTTTTTCTCATTTTCACAGCAGTCTGTTCCTGCTCCTCTTCTGTTCCTGACTTAAGCCCTGGCAATGGGCCTGCAAGGAAAGTGTTGTGTTAGCTCTCCTTTCACACAGGCACATCACAGACTAGAAGCAAGCAAGCACACGACTAAGCCAAGGAACATACATTATTTAGTGTGGTCCATCTGTCCAAGGGAAGCTGCTCTTACATTTTTCTGGTGTATTATCTTCTAATTAATCACGTATTATCGTCGTTAACAGGCTTTCACTAAGATGCATGTACCCACTTAGCAAATTAACAGACAGCTAACGAGTTCCCACATTTGGCAGCTGTAAAGGCTCTCTCTGGTTGTCTTGGGAATGATGCTCTGTGGGTGCTCATTTTGGCACACCCAGGTGCCCGACACACCCAGGTGCAGGACAGCCTGTGCAGTAGCTGCTAATCTGCACCCAGATTCCCCTCTTCCCTCCCTGAAAATGATGTCCCATCACAGTCATACTTCTTCCCCCTTCGTGCATGGATAATCTCCAGACCTGACAGCACCAGCTTGTTATGCCACCACCATTTCTCCCTGTGTGGGAGCTCATCCCCAGGAGCCCATCACCTTCCTCACCCACCCCTTGCATGCCTGGGGCTCTGAGGAAGGCTGAAGGCCCTCATCCCCACGTACTCACCAGCACCATGCACATCTCCACCACCCCTGCGTGCAGCACCAGGGACCACAATACTGCAAACGAGTCCTCCACACTCCTCTGGCACTGCCTGTGCCAGAGACAAGGAAACACAGCTTGGACATGATGTCTGCTGCCTTTGGAAGTTGTCAGCTCTTCACCTCCAAATCTGCTGTCTTCAGCTTCCACATCTCCTGCTTTCCTTTCTTTGGGGTATTTGAAAGCAGTGTCAGGCCCTGCTCTCTGCCACGTGAACGGGAAGGTGGTGGTGGGTACCAGCTCCTCATCAGGCATGAGATCTGCTCCCACCAGCCACAGTCATTGGCATCATCCTTATCCATCATCCTTATCCCTGCAGGCCACACTCACCCTTGTCCCCCTGCTGTGCTCACACACAAATTTTCTTGTGCTTTGGTCAAACTGCTCCACTACAAATTTGGGCCCCAGAGCTGCCTCCACACCTCCCTGGGACAGGCCAAGAGCACCTACTTGGCTTTTCCTCTGTTCCCCTAACACCCCGGGCCAGCATGGTTATATCCCCACGAGGGTCCCCCCACAACACTGCCACCAAATCTAGCACACCCCAAGTAGAATGTTCTGCCCTGGCTGGGATGCTCAGACAACTAATGAGGCCACCATCAGCCATTAAGCTCCTGCTATTAATTGAACCCCATTGACCTCATCAGTTGCCGGGATGAATCCCACAGAGATCACTCCTGCTCCTGAATTCCTCCCAGGCCTTGGGGCCATCTCCTGCTCCCAGCTCCCATCCTGAGCCAGGAGTACATGGCAGCAGGGATGACAGGGAACATGCTGCAAGACAGTGGCACCACTGGTAGAGTTTCCAAGCTACCAAACCTGTCCCAGTCCCAGTGACACAGCTGCAACTCCTAGTGACATCAGCAGAGAGCAAAACACAATGGGAATCTTTCAAAACACACAATTTTAGCCACAAGACAAGCACTGACAAATTTTCAGTTTTATTTAAAAAACTCTAGCAGCAAAACCTGTAACAATTCAAAAAACAACAGGAAAAAAAAAAATGACCAAACCTTCAAAAGAACATGACACAGAGAGAAAGAGACAGAGATGGAGAGAGACAAATCTGGGGTTCCTCCAGCGTTCACTCAAGCTCCTTATAGCGGGCAAACATGACCCTCCTCACGGCGTCACGGTACGTCTCGTTGGACTGCCTCTTGGGGGGCTTCCCTGGGGCCCCCAGCCCAGGGCCCTTCCTCCTGTTTTCTGCCTGCAAACAGACACAGCTTGTGCTCGTGATTTCTCCTCCCATAAATAAAAAGCTTCCCTGGACTGCTGACTGCTCCCGTGTGGATCCACGAGCAGAGGAAGAGCAAGTGCTCTGTGTTCTTCCAAAAGCTGATTGGGAAGAACTACAGACCCTTTGTGGGCAACGAAAGCAGCCAGCAAATGCCCAGGGATCAGCTGTGGTGGAGCATACAGAGCAGTGGGCAGCCAAGGGTCGGCAGCTAAGAGGCAGCACTGGCAGCCAAGGATTGAAAGGGAGCAAAGGAAAGCACTGGTGAGAGCTGGGCTCCTGGGGAGCTGTTTGCAGCTCGCCTGCACTGGCACAAGCTCAGATGTTCTCTCTAACAGAGCTCAATGGGCACTGGTACCTCGCTTGGAATTTCAACCAGTTTTCAAGGCCTGGCTTTTGCAACCAGTACCTGCATTATTCAGCAATACCTGCCTGGGGTTAGCCCAGGAGAGCAGGCCTGAGGCTGGAAGTTTCTCTGGCTTTTCAGTCCAATCTACCTGAATAGCAGAGATCTCACCAGCTGAGCCAAGAGATCAGAGTTGTGTGGGGTTGGCATGGTCTCATGGCTTTGCCCAGCATGACTTGGAAGTGAAAGGCAAGCACATCTCTTCTGGCCTTTCTATGAACTGTGTGAGGGCTGTGCTTTGCCACCAGCTCCCCATCCAGACAGGAGCTCAGACCTCCCAGAGTGTGGCGCTGGAGCTGGCTCTCAGCAAAGCCTGTTTTATGGGCATGGGGACCTCACCACGAGGACTGAGCAGCAGCTGGGGCCCAGTTCCTGCTGTCTGCACTGAAGAGGGATTCTTGCCTCATGTATATGAGCTCAAGCAAACATGCGTCATGAAGCCTCAAATATTTGCTTTAATGATCTACTTGACTGCAGGCTGAATGTCACCCTGTGAGCCCTGCTCCCAGCTGCCTGTCCCTAGCAGAGAGCATGGACACCACAGTACCTGGCCAGCCACAAACCTGCCACCAGAGCACAGCACTGCTCATGTGGCCCTGGGCAAGGCAGAGCAGACCCTGCCCCAGGCTGCTTTTCTGATAAACCCTCTGCAGTAAATTAAGAGAGACCAGACTGTCACAGAGGGCAGGATCTACCTGACCCTGCCTAACCCTGGCATACTTTGCCTATGGGCCTCTGCTCCTCGTCAGATGCTGTATCTTGGTATTCTCTTCTGATGTCCAGAGACTGCAGTGGCAGCAAGAGCCTCACAAGTGCTAAGCAGAGCAGACAAAGAGCATCTTGGGCCCTGTGGCTTTGGCTATGCTCACACCTCCCCTGGGGAAGTTCACTTTTTTCCCCAGCTCACGTTGCTGCAGAGAACCGAGCTGGCTACCTGTTCAAACCTCAGCCTAACTTTGAGCAGGTACTAATGAGATGCTCACACACTTCCTGCTCACTGTTACTCTATTTTCAACACCTCCAGATCCATATAAATTCTAACCTTATTCTACAGCCAACATACTTGCAGCCCCTCCCAGCCTGCAAAGTTCATCAGTGCATACATATTATTCCATCAAGCGGGTGCTGAGATTTGCAGTCTGACTTGAACTCCCTCCAGCTGTCCTGGGAAACATTATGAGCTGCAGGACAGTGGTGTGCTTTGAAAGGCAGGGAAGACTCACCTCCATTGGTGATGCTGTGCCCTGCTGGTTGTGGCCAAAGCCCTTCTTCCACCCCGGAGACTGCACCATTCGGTTCCCTTTGTTGTTACTGTCAAGCCTTGGGTCATAGTCACTGTAAAAGAAACAGAAACCAATTGTCCAGTCTTGCAATGCTTCAAATACACACCAGGGATTTTTAGTTCTGCTGATAGAACCTTTACTGACATTTCAGCCTCTCATGAGGGATATCCAAGTTTCTTGCCAAAAGCACACCACCTAAGAAAACCACCACGGTGGATTCTGTGTGCAGGGCTCACACACCTCTGACTGCTAAATTTCTTGTCCCACCTCAGGGGGAAATACACCAGGGCACAGGAAATGAGCTCAGACTCCAAAATATTTACAGTGTAAGCAAGCCAGGAGCCTTCTGTGCTTGTATTTCTTAATTAAAGTCTTAGCAATAGCAAGAAAGCAAAGTCTAATTCCTGCTGCTCTGTTAGATCTTTCCTTTCTCCCAGTGCTGTGGTCATGGAGCTCAGCAGATGCAGTTGATTCGGACACTCTTTCTCCCACCTCATTACTCATCCAAGAGCATTAACCAAAAGTCATAGTTTTGAAAACCTCTCAGCATAAAAGACTCTTCCTTCATACAATTTCTACTTTTTGGTTGCTGGTGACACTGCACACAAACTTTTAGTTTATCTACAGCTATTCCAGGAAAACAAAAGGAAGAGGGATGTGGATGTTTAAACTGCAAGACACAGAAAAAAGGTCTCCTTCTGAGGTGCTGTGCCAGGAGAACACAGGCACATAACCAGTTCTATATTCAACACATGCCTGGCCGTTCCTCAGCCCACTGAACACGCGAGCTCACAGCAGGCAGGCCTGTCAAGAACTCCACACAGCACGCACTTTCTTCCTCCACCTACTCTGAACGAGATGGAAACAGCTCCCAGCGTTCCTCTGAGTCAGGGAACAGATGAAACACAGCTTTGCTCTTTCTTTCAATGGCTTGATGCCAGGACAGGAGGGCAGCAAGTGCCTTAAGGACGAGGTGGATGGGAACAGGCTGCATTCTGCTCTCCGTGTCCAGCCAGACACACTCAGACCCCCATCTCACCCCTCCAGAACCAGGCAGCTTTTTTCTGCTCTGCCCTAAACCCTTGTTTCCACCCTAGCCCTTTCCTGACCTCTATGAGATATCCTGCAGTACAACAGGCTCACACTTCGAGGAATTCTGTCTCAGTCTGTCTGGCTGTTACTCTGCAGATCTAGCCCACTGAACAATTCCCAGCCTTGGTCTGCCAGCAGCACACATCCCATCCCAGCATCAGCATCCCCAAAGAGATTTAACCCACAACAGCCATTACCTCTCTGAGTCCCGGTCATATCTGAGTCGTTTCCTCTCTGGTGAATCCATCTGCTGGAATTTCTCTCTCCGGTCATTTCCTTTGTCTTTATGCCTCCCCTTCATAACAGAAAGAGCAAAGTAAGTACAGAAGCTATGAAGGATTCAACACTGCAGGAGGCTACTATGCATCCAGATCTCACCTCATCCTCAGCTGCCTGGAAAGCTGTCCTGGGGACTCACAAACACTGAATGCTCACATCCCACCATACACTTGCTCTGTTCAGATGCCACCTGTTGGGCTGACCCAGAGCTGTTGTTGCAGCCTTCCAGCTACTGCACCAGGAGCAGCTCTGCAGCCTTCCAAACAATGGACAGGTACAGCTCTCCTGTCCCTGGCCAGGCAACAGCAGCCCCTACACTCCATCACTTTTAGGTGGAAATTTGTGTCCCACTTAGCCCAGAGCTCAGTGCTGGCTTGCAGGACAACAAAACCACACCCAGACCCTTCTGTGAGGAGTGAGATCTGTTCTTAGAAGTCACAGAACTACCTACAGGTCCCCATCCAGAGCCCACGGTTCACTTTTGGGAGGCATCTGATGCCTGGTGCCTAAGTGGATGCCTGCTGATACCTGGTGCATAAGTGGAGGGTCTTCCTGGGACCACCACCCCCCCAGTGTAGAAGCACAAGGAGCTGCCTGCCCACCACCACAGACGCACCTCACGCTCTCTCTTCTCCAAATACGCCAGTTCCTGCTCGGATCGTTTGATCTTCATATGAATCTCTAGGTTTTGCTGGAAGGAGGAAGACAGAAGGCAGTGTCAAGCAGAGAACTCAAGCTGTCAGGGTCATCTGCTCCACCCACAAGGAGTACAGGTAAAGCAGCATGCTCTTGTACCTGCACTATACCAGTCACAGCAGCCTCTCCTCCAGCCCAGACTATATGCTCCCCCACAGAGGCCTGGAGCCTTTCCTCCCTGCAGTAAGGAAGGCAACCAGTCCTATTTTAACCCATGTGCAGCTTGGCTCTGCTGAAAGCAACAGCTCAAAGGCAGCACAGAACATGGGGGTGCACGTGCCAAGTTCTTACTGCTCTCACACTCGGTGTGTGCCAGCACCCCACTCTCCCCAAGCCTTAGCTATCTCACTACAGCTTACAAAGTCACACCTTGATGTTATAGCACTCCCATGGCAGGAACAAGCAGTTCACACAATGCTTTGAACAGAGCTTTGGGGGAACTTTGCCTGCTACTGCATCAATTTCAGCACAGCTCTTTCCACCCAACCACTGCATTTTCCGTGCAGCTCACATAACCATTGAGCCAACGGCAGCCCCCAGCTTCCCCATGCCTTGTGCAGGTTGGAAAGCTGCTGGTGCTTGATGAGCACTTCCTTGTTGGGAAACTGTCTCCTGCACAGCAGGCAGGCCAGCTTGTTCCAGTCAGTCAGTTTGTCGTCGCTGGCCTTGGCCTTCCGCGGCTGCTCCTCGCGCAGCGCCGGTGGGTGCGGGGGAGGCGGCAGCCACTGAGCCTGGGACTGCTCCTCCTCTTCCTCCTCCTCCTCATTGTCGCTGTCTCCTCCATACTCTCCCAGAAGTCCTATCAGAGGGTTCACCACCTTGGGCTGAGGGAAGTGGAGAAAAGTGTCACCATTTGTAGCACCAAGCCTGCCAGGCTAGCGGGGCTTTGCTTCCCCAACCCATCTCCCCATGACTCCTTTCTCTGTTCCAGTCCAAGAGGTAGAGTCACTTCCCAGAGCACAGGCAGGGAACAGAGAGGAGCCGGCTGGCTTCCTTCCCTTCACATCACGGGGTGGGAGCCCTTCTGCTCTCTAGACAGGCCGTGCTTTGGTGCCAGGCTTTTCCAACTTGCCACATACCTGAGAGCACAAGAAGCCAACCAAGGCAGTGGCTGTTTGGCAGGAGATCAGTGAGATTTGGCCTTCCTCAGCCTGGAGGTGGCTGGAAGAGTTTTTTGCCTTAGGACTGGTTGAGTGAGATCCTGCTTGAATGCAGGTACCAAATTTCCTCATGCTAGAAGCCGACAAACAAGGTCAGACTTAAAAAACAAACTGCCTTCCATCCCTAGCACTCCCTTCTCTGGCATGAGAAACATCTCTGGCACCTCTGGCACTCACAGTTGCAGCCAGGCTGTGCTGAACCTCCCTAGACTGTATCCAGGCTCAAACAGGTACACACAATCCCACGGAGATACTTACTGGGGCTGCACTCTCTTCCTTTTTCACAGAAGGAGGTAAAGGTTTTTTAAAGACATCTTCTGCAGACAACTTCTCCTCTCCAGTCTCAGTCTGAAACAGTCAAGATCAGGGTTGAGACTGCTGTAGCATGGACTCTAAGCACACAGTAGCTAAGTACTCATTCAAACAGGCCTCCAAGGAAACCAGGTGATTGGCAGAAATGAGGTGGTGGTTCTGGTGGGAGTCATTCCCATTCTGGGGAATCCAGAGCTCTCCTGGAGCCATACCCGTGATTTCAGAGACAGCTGCAGCAGCTCACCATGTCATCCCAGCCCACCCCACTCTCACTCTCTGCTACACTGTGATGCTGACAGTGGTTCCAGTCCTCCCTCAGAGAGGGAGCTGGGGCAGGGCCAGGTCACATTTGAGCACCTTTGTGTGTGCACAAAGGACAGACATGAAGACCAGGTTCAAAGCCACCCCCCACTGCCAGACAACACCAATTTTCTCTGTTGTGAGTGTGGCACAACATATGGCCAGGCTCAGCCAGCATAGCTGAGATCTTCTTTATCCTGGACAGAGGGCACCAGAGACTGCAGTCAGCACTGCAACAGGATGAGCCTGTGATACTCAGCTGTGTGCTCAGCAGCACAGACACCAGGCTGCAATGAAGCTTCACTCTCACACATTTTACAGAGAATTGGGCTAGAGCCCTGGACAGGCTCCAATTTAGTGGCTCATGAGTTACTCATACTTGACCAGGGAGGACAAGTGTAACACCTTACCAGGCCTGTGCTCTCATCCTTCTTCACAGAGGGAGGCAATGGCTTTTTGAAGACATCTTCTGCAAAGAATCTCTCCTCTCCAGGCTCATTCTGAAAAATTCAAGACTGGGCATTAGGCCAGCAACAACACAGGTGTCAGAGAGTGCACAGTGCAGCCAGGAAGCCACTTCTGAGCATCCATGGAAAACAGGCAAGTGGGAAAAATGACAGAATGATTCCTACTGGAGATGCTTTTACCCTGCATTCAGACAGGACAATGCTTCTCCTAGGTCAGTGTCCCTGAAAGCCTCCATACCCAATGACTCCTAGGCTGGCTTGTTATCAGCCTCAGGGACAGTTACAGCCCTCAAGTCCTAGGTGCCCAGGACTGGTCAGGCCACTGAGCATATTCAGACCAAGAGGCAAGGAAGGACACAAAGTTTCTGCATTGGTGGCTAAATCACTTCTACCAATTCTCCTGGCATTCCTCAGGCCCTGTCAGTATCACAGCCCTGGGCTGTCCTCAAACATCACTTTGGGCAGCTACTCCCAACCAGCAGCTCCCACACTGGAATTTGCTCACTGAGAACAGCAGTGAAAGGCACTGTCCTGGCACTGGGGAGGGGCAGAAACTGCAGTAAGGGGAGAGCTGAGTCTCCATCATCATCTGATTTGGGGTGTTTAAATGTCACTGCCAGTTTTCTGTTGTCTCTATTACAATAGCTGGGTGCTTTCAGCGTGTGAGTGAAATGTCTCAATTACCTGGATATGTCTGAATCCTTCACCATAGGGAAGGGATGAGAATCCCTGGATTTAATGTAAGGAGAGAAAAATTTTGGGAACTTACTCCCTGGCTGGACAACCACCAACGTAGACGGCATCTTTATGAAATACGGATGTTTCAATCACATCATATCTTTACACCTATGGGCTCCCTGCCCTGGGAGCAGGGAGGTCTGCTGGGTCCAGGGGGCTTCCTGTTTAAATAGCCTCTCTTCCAGCTGCTGACCCCATTGTCTTCTCTCACTGTCCCTTCCCTTTTGAATCCCCTAATTACTCTATTTTCTAAATTCTCTTCCCTCAGCCTCCTGGCCTCAGGTCATTCTGATGCCTGGAGGGAGTTACCTTAGCAGAAGTACTTTTCCCTTTGTCCTTTTTGTCCCTGTTGTCCCTGCCGTGTGGCTCCTTCCTGTCACTTGTCCGTTCTTGGCTCCCGTGCCGCTGCTGCCTCCTGCTCTCCGCGGGAGGTGAGGAGGGTTCCCGGTCTATCGTGACTTCCCTCTGAAAGAGGCATTTGGAGCAGGTTTAGCCCAGCCCCTGCAGTCTTCTCACTGGGCTTCTTGTCCTTGCTGAGCTGGGGAGACCAGCACAGTAAGAAGAGACTGCAGAGGGCAAAGGCTTCAGAACTTTGCTGGGGCAGAAGACAACTGACCACAGCCAAGTCACCAGAGCACAGCCCTGCTCTCCCACAACATGGACATCCTCAGGATAATGAAAACAAGATTATAGTTCCAGAAAATCTCTGCTGATGGCTCTTTTTTGGCATCCTTACAGCTATTGTTGGCTAGAGACCACAGATGAAAACAGAGCTCTGCTGTCCATTCTTTGTTACAGACAGTCACATATCACATGTCTACAACAAAATTTAGCTATGATGCTCTGCCTGTAAGTCTACTTGAGGAAAAGCAGACCAAAAACCCTCCAAAGGCAGGACTTCAGAGACCAGAGGCGGCTACAGCTGGTTCAACACACAGCTAATGGGTTCCTAGCCCCTCATTAAGTTGATATTTTGCAACGTGCATCCCTTTCACACAGGTCAGAAGACAGAGTGAAAGACACAAAGCCGCCTCTGTATTGCCCTATGCTGGCTTGTCTTCAGGATCTGGCTGCAAAATCCCTCCAGAGAAGAGCAGTTTGTAAGAACATATTGCATGTAAAGCTTCCTTCCCATGCACTCACCTGAGTTCTGGGGTCATAGTATGTCCCAGCTATGGGATCATAGTAATTCCCAGTGTCAGGATCGTAAATGTACGTGGACACATCTGATGGTGCTGAGGAGAGAGACAAGAGTTAGCACCACAGGCTTCCAAAAGCAGAATTTGCTTTTCACAAAGACAAAAGCACGAACAAACATTACACTGGTGAAAGGATCAGGAACGGGAAAGAATTATTTTTTTCTCCTGGCAAGAGAGGTATGAGTATCTTCACATCACTTGACCTACATAATCTTTTCTTTAAGGAGTAAGAGGGGTGATAAGTTCCCACAATTCTGGTTAGGACTCTGGCAAAACTTCCACATCAAAACAGATTTACAGGAGCTGTGCTGAGATCACAAGACCACAACACTTGGTCATGAAATTCAGTAATTTCCCTAAGAATGGGGTAATGAGTATCTACATCCACCCACTCCTGTGACAAGGAAAAGCTGTTCTCTCTCAATCGTGTTTGAAGTGATGACACTCCCCACATCCCTTCCACCCCATGGTGCACAAAAGCCTCTCTACAAGAAAAGGGAGTGAACTATTTCTACAAGAAAAGCCAAAGGCCTTAAGGGTAGTAGGCCCATAATGTCAGGAATGCTTCTCATTTCCAAAGTGTCCTTTGACAGACCTCAGAAATGCTATATATAAATCAGTTAAACGACCAAGAGTGCTCTTCCAGCTACTGGCATTGCTGTATCAAGTGTATTTTCTTCTGTCTTCTCTAGTAACTGCCAGGCTGATTTTATCCCATCAGTTTTCCACAACAACGAAAAATAGGCAGCAAGTTTCCTTTATCTGCATGTAGTTTCACACAGTGAGAATAGAGAGAAACACATCATCAGATAGGAAAATGTGACTAAACAAAGTTGGCAAAGGAACTCACAAGTGGGTGTAGCAAACAAACCTACTCTTAGCCTTTAAAATATTTTTGGGCTGATTTCTACATGTCAGTGCCCTTTTAAGGAAGAAAAGTCTCCACAGTAGGAGTGAAGCAGAGTTTAACTTACACTGTGCTCTGGTGCGTCTCTGTGATTCGCCACCCCTCCTGTCTCTCATGCCCCTTCTGCCCTGAAGTAAGTGAACAACACAAACAAATCAGAGACTCTTTAACAAACATCATATTACTTCTGCTCCCTCTGACAGGCCCAAAGTTCAGAGGAAGGGCTCATTTAGCCATCCTAAACAGAGCATAAGCAGACATAGCTTTTCATCTACAGAGCAATGGACAGTGTCCCAAAGCACGAGATCTCTGCAGCTTCCATGAGAGGTGCTCATAGCAACCCTTATGGAAGCCTTCCCTGCATCCAGTATATGGGAACAGTCCTGTAGTCTAGTAACAAACACTAAAGAGACATTCACTCTGGGAACTGAGATCAGGCATCAGTGAAATCACTCTGTAAAGTGTGTTGCTGAGTAGCCCAGAACTCCCTCCAGCAGCACTAACTTGCACTTCTATGCACACAATAAACAGCATGAGGGGCAGAGCAGCAGTGGGCACATTTGAGCATTATCACCCCATCTTCAAACATAGTGAAACATGTTCTACAGTATTTCAGCAGCCCAAAGAGAAAAAGCCTAATACAGCCAGGCCCATCACTCCCCAATGCTTCCTCCCTTTATGCAGCCTGCAGGGAAGCTGTGCAGACCTACCTGGCCATAGTAGGAATTGTCACCGTGCTCCCCATAGTCATTCCTGCTGAGATAAAGGTTGCAAGTTAATGGCAATTTGGTTTTACATTAACCTCAGTATATTCAAAATGATCAGCAGGACAAATAAAGGCAGAAAGACCATCTTTCCTGGCCACATGTTGGACTGTGTCCATCCCAGGAGACAGCCTTGGCAAACCACTGTCTCCACAAGAAATACAACTCCACTCTGCTGTGTCTACAAAGATGAATCTCTCCACGTGTTTTTTAAAAAGCTGAACCCACTAATTCCAGCAGAACAAGATTTGATGGCTGGACAACGAGATGCATTATGATCACTAATCTCATTCTGCTCAATGACTGAAACTTCTTCAAGCTTCAATGCCTTCACTTCTCCAACACATTTTTTTGGTTGTAGGAACATCTGTGCTAATTCCCATGCCAAACTTTAAGCACCTGCTCTGACAAGCGAGCCTTACTGCACAGCATGTAAAGGACAACCCCACTGCCTCATCTGTCTGTACCTTCTCCTCCCTGTTGCAAGATTCACTTCCAATGTACGCCCATCAATGCAGATTGGGGGATCCAGGTTCTGCAGTATCTTTAGCAACCTCAGCGCTTCCTGTAAAAGGAAAAAGAATGTCACTTTCCATGAGAAGGAAACAGCACATTTTCCAAATCCAGTCTGCCTGAATGGAATATTTTGTGCTCAGCAGGATAAGAAACACAACACTAAATTAGTCTAAGTGCCAGTGAAGGGTATTTAGGATGCGACAAAAGGGATAAATGCAATGTGAGGTTCTCTGCTTGTCCTATGCCCACTGACAGCAGCCAGTCGGGGATGGCATTCTCCTAAGGCTGCCACACAGTGTAGCACTGTGGCTGCTGCTGCCCAAAGTGCTTTGGCAAACACCCTCTGGACCAACATCAAAGAACAGCTTTGGAGCCACTCAGACACAGAAATGTGAACCCTCCAACATGGCCTGGTCTGTTAATTGAGATTCTTCCCTTCTACGAACAAAAACGACTGGATTCAAGTTCTCTGCAAACAAAATAGCTATGCAAGAAGTGCTCAAGAGTTCAGAGTGTCTAAAAAGAAATGTACTAAGGTGAGAAACTCAATCAGTGTCGGAGCTTGTGACAACAATCAATCTTTGACTCCTGAAGCCAGAGAATAACAGCTCTACCAGCTAATTCCTGTACCTGATCAGACAAGCAGAAGAGACAGCTCGTTCCAGCACAGCAGCCTCACAAGTACAGAGATTTCTTGTATTTCTGTGGCTTCTCTACTTCCACGATATCAGATGCCAACAGAGGGTGCAGGTGAAAGCAGGAAACTACTTACAGCATGAGATTCCAGTTCGATGAAGCCATAGGTCTGCCCCATCCGGCCAGCCTTGTTCTTCATGATGCGCACGCTGGACGTGGACAGACGCACGTACGGGGCCAGGAGCCCCACAATCACCTCTGGGGGGGTGAACCGAGTGATTCGCTTCAGCATAATTGCTGACAGACACAATCAGGGAGGTGGCCCAGGAAAAAAGAGTAGTAAAAAAAAGATAATTTAGAACCAAGGAACCAAGTTTACTGTGACCAAACCCACTCAAAGCAAGAGCACGGCTTCTGGCAGTCGGGTCTCCAAGCCATTGCTTTTTTCTCTCCACTTCACAAGATGCTCCAGTCAACGCCTCCAACTGCTAACCTTTCCTTTCCAGAGTAGAAAGTAGCCCCTTCTCAGAGCTTAGCCCAGGGTAACTGCTGGCCCAAAAGACTTCTGAAGCTGTTACATCTCAGCCTGAATTAACTTTCCAAAAGGCAATTTTTCAGCACCTTTGGAGCTGGACAGCCCTCCATTACTCTATGCCATAGATTTGCACAACACAGAAATAGCCTTGAGAGGTTTTAGTGAAATGCTGCCCTTTCTGCAGATGACCTCATGGAGTACAAGCAAGAGGAATCTAAAACTGGTCTTTGTGTCACTCACTTCTGCTTCCTCCACCATCTGGTGGCATGGCTTCCTCTGCTTCCCTCTGAGAGGGCGGCTCCTGGTGCCGATCCATGTCCCTTCTCTTCTCCTGTGACGGCCGACGCTCTCTCCCTTCATCCCTCTTCCTTGGCTCCTGTTCCTGAGGCTGACATTCCTGCTGTGGAGCAGGAACTGAGGGCTGGAGAGGCTGCTTTGGAGATCCTGGCTGACCTGACAACTCTTGCTCAGGTGTTTCAAGCTTTGTCTCTGCTATTAGAGAGGAGAAATGAACTGGTTTCACATACGAATGTTTCAGCAGGTTTTTTTCTCGTATTTTCTGGCCCTTGCAGCAGTGCTCCTTATAAAAGGCCAACCTGTACTGTCTGTTGCATATCCTGTTTGTCTTAACACTTGGCAGATACAAGGTTGGTTCAGGTACTGCCATCCTTCCATTGCTTTGTTTTGTGTTGGGTTGCTTTACATGACTTTTCTAGTCAGAGACAAGAGGCTTTTTGGCCTCCTTTTAGAATTGTCTCTTGCCTGAACAAACAAGAATCAGGGATGGATTTAGACACATTCCTTCCAAGTCCAGGACAACCTATATGATAGTGATATCCTTACTATCCACGATGTGCTCCTGATCATCCACAGCCAAGCAACATCAACTAGTAACTGTCACCCTGTTTATATGCTAGAGGAAAACTGGGTTCAGATCCCCTGAGACCACTGAATGAAATACATCCATAATACAGTCACAGATTCTATTAGATGCCTATTGACTACACCTGAGGCAGAAACAATGTAAGAACACCCTGCACCCCCAGTCTAGCTATGCCATTCAGAGAACATAAACCCCAACAAGTTTCTGTGATTGAAGCCTCTGATGGTCTGGCTTCACTGCAAAAGAGATCCCTACCCAAGCTTCTAACACTGCTGGAAAGGGAAGCCAGATCTGTGAGACTGAAAAGGCAGGTACCATCAGCCTGGCACCTGCTGCAGAAGCCTCTCCCTACAAAGAGAAGCAAATGAGGGTGCAAGACATGGCACAGTGAAGTTTCCCTCTTTAATGTCCCTGAGACCAAGTTCCTGCTCTCATTCTCTTTGGGAAGTGGGTGGCATGGCAGAACACACGATGATTTTGCACACAACTGCTGGGAAAGATGCACAGTGCCTTGCTTGGCTGCCAGCACAGCTCACCTTGGACAGGCTTGTACTCATTTCTCTGCGGTTTATGGAGTGCAGAGTTTTGGCTACAGAACCTCATGTAAAATTTGCACATGAAACCAGTTTGCACCTGCAGCTATGCAGGTGCAAAGAAACTGCCTGTGCAAATCACACAGACATGGGGAGGTGGGGAGGGCAACTCTCTTACTGAATTCTTGCTCAGCTGACGTGTCCTCTCCCTCAGCACCACCTCTGGACTCTGGGCCTGTTCTGTTTCCTGTAAGAGAGGCACACTTCAGTCCACTTCACACCCATCAGTCACAAAGCATGCCAGCACTCAAACAAAGCTGCAGCAAGCACTGTAAATTCCTAGACAGTTGCTTTGTTTCACCCAGTCACAGAGAGGTTACCTTATTGCACCCTTTCCCAAGAAAAGCAGCTCAGTAAGAAGCATTCACCACAATCTGTCTTCACAGCAGCTTAAAGGCTCTGTTTAATTTGCTCCTGGGCAGTTTCATTACAGCCCACAGTTGTGTTGGACCAGCTGTGTGAATTTTGCCTTCAGAGCACTGATGGAGGAACCACAGAGCACAGAAAGCACAACCACAGGGACAGTGTTTCAGTAAACAGAGATCTGTGCATCAGCAGTTGATGTACTGCCCTTCTGCCTCGGGCAGGAGGCAATACATAGAAGTCTGCTTAAAGACATAGAGTCAAGGCTTACAGAAGGCTGGAATGCACAGGCAGTGCCAGAGGAGGAGGAGGGAGGACTAACTCGTGGCACTCTGGCCCCTGGTGCTGCACCCAGGGACAGTGAAGGTGGGCACAGCCATCATTCCAAAGAAATCAGTTCCTCAAGGAAGCGTGTTTTGGCTCTTGTGCCTTCCCACTCCAGAAATCAGAGGTGCTGGTGGTGTGAGGAGAAGCTCCTGGAGAATTTCTCTCATGCATTTTTTACAGCCTGCAAGGTGAGTTCAGCAATTCCAATCCTGGATTCACCTCTAATCTCCTCTCCCAATAACAAGTGATAGGACAAATGAAAATAGTCTCAAGTTACTCTGGGAGAGGTTTAGATTAGATATTAGGGAAAATTTCTTGACCAAAAGGCTGGCCAAGCACTGGAACAGGCTGCCCTGGGAAGTGGTAGAATTACCATCTCTGGAAGTGCTCAAAAAATGTGTAGGTGTGGAGCTTAGAGATATGGGTTAGTAGTGGGCTTGGTAATGATGAATTAACGGCTGGACTTGATTTCAGAGGTCTTTTTCAACCTTAATGATTCCATGATTTTGTGATGCTAATCTGAGTCTCTCTCTGAGTGACACTAAAACCATGAAGGTGGGTCGAGGGAAGCCATCTCACCTACAGGGAGCAGTACCAACTCCCAGTCCCAGAGGACACACAGCTATAGCTCCCTGAATGAAAGGACAATACCACACAATAGGAGGGAAAGGCTGTGGGCAGTAAGACACCTCTCCACCAAGCCTCACAGGAGCAGAGAACCTGACAGCGACCCGTTGCACATAACATCTGTAGTGTGGACAGGCAAAAAGGGTCTAAGTGAAGCAAAACTAACAATCCTCCCACACAGTGCTCAGCTAGTCCACCAATAGAGATGCTATGGGAAACCAGAAGAGAAACTTACTTGTCAGGGTAGATGAAACTTTTAACTACCAACTTCAGGGGACCAGATATACTCACCATCTCTTGGGAGCTTGCAATAGGAACAGGAAGATCTGTAGCCCACAGTACACACCTTACACTGCAATGGAAGATGGACAGATGAAGAAGTTGTATTTTGAAGGCAGTGGGTACAACCTGCTCCAGAATTCCAGCCTCTGCAGCATGCTTTCAGCAAGTAGCAGCCATGAAAAAGTTACAGTGATGGGGAATGGCAGCAGGGGCCTTTGTTGGAATTGCAGGTAAATGCTCATATGACTCACAGCTGGGTTTGCCTTGGGAACAGGGGGTTTCACACAACTTATGAGCACGTTTATTCACTAGTCCTTGAGATGGGACTCTTCCCCCTCTCAAGTGATGCTGGATCAAAAGCTCCCTGCTAGGCACAATGTTGATTCAAAGGGTCCAAAGTTACCTTGGCATTCTCTAACCTGACCTCACCCCTCAAGCAGTGACGAAGTCTTTATCTGAGCTAAACTGTAGATAATGATGTAATTTGCAAAGTTAATGATGAGGTGTCTGCTAACCAAGAGGCAGAGCTGTACAGGCTTGGATGGTTATCCCACCTAGAGCCACTGTGGGGAGAACCAACTGCCTCATTTTCACAGCTCTCTCCAAACACAGCACTCCTGACTTCCTCCTTAAGCTCTTTGCAAATGCATTGCTTTTGTTTCATAGCAATTTCTTCCAGTGACTGAAGCCTTGTGGATGCTCTGGGGCACAAGAAAGCTCAGGCCATGGCTACACACAGCAACAGTGGGAACATACAGTGCAGCCACCTCACTGCACTGAGAGCTGTTTGAAACTTGAGTCTCCACTTGTGGAGAGCTGCAAGCAGAATGAGGCACAGAGCAACAGCTCTGCTTGCAGTTGGATGAGGGTCTCTTGTAGCCTACGGTGATCCAGTGGTCAAAGTGGGGCCCTGCAGTCAGTGGGAGTGCAGGCAACAATCCTGTCCTTTCTCTAGCAATCACCTCCAGCCTGCTGCAGCTGTAAGTTCCTGTACTGAGAGAACCTTGGGGAGGGCACAGGAACAAAATGACCCTTGGGCAACTGTGCCTTCCCAGAAATGGGCCAGTCCCAGCATGTACTTGGCTCATGCTGCCTAGACTTGGATCCATTTCCATGCTTCCTTCCCTGCTGCACTTACTAGAGCCACAGCTCGACCACAGGTTCCTGTGTGAGGCAGAGGGGTGGTTACACACATGAACCAGAGTGAAGCCTGTTCCATTCCGGTTGGCGGAATCGCTGTCTCATTGTGGTTTTTAAGGAGAAAGGATCCGCACGCTATTTTTCCCACATTTTAAAAAGGAATCACTGCATAGGGACAAGGCTTCTCTGTGCATAAAAAAATCTGGCTACCTCTACCAGAGAAACATGCATGCAGAGGTGGGACCAAAATCAAGGTAGGCAAAAGCACAGTTTAGAAGGGGCAAGAGCTTCAGGACAGGTATTAATTACTCTGAGAGACTTTGGCCACTGAGCAAATATAAATATCTAAGACTCCTTTGAGCTGCCAGTGCCACAAGTGCCAGCAGGGGAAGCACAACACAGCTCTGAGCACATACTTACACGTTTGCAGCGCCAAAACTCTGGGCACGGAGTGTATTCAAGGGTCACTTCTTTGCCTCCGATCGTAAGAGTTCCCTGTTGAGACAAGGGGGCAAATGACGAACGTGCCCAGCACACGTAGGTTACTCAGAGGCAAAGAAAGGGGTGAAAGCTCTCTGGCTCCTAAAGGTTTTGCAAGTGAAACAGGGTGAAAGGGGGAGAGAGTCTCCCAGTTCAGTTAGCTGGAGCTTTGCCATGGAAGTGGGAGGGAAACAGCCTGTGCCCTGCTCTAGCATGGAGCTACAAGGCTGTGTTAGCTAGCTCCAGAGGAACCAGGCAGGAGAGGCCTTGCCACCTCCCAGGAGGAGCAGAGACAAGTAACTAGAGTGGGAAACTGCTTTAACCTGCTTTAGTCCAGGTGCTGGCAAGGGGCAGCTGGACAGACTCCCTCACACCAGCCACCAGGCTGGCCTCAAGGCAGCTACTCGAGGAGGAAGGCGTGGAAAAATCCTCTCAGGTGAGGGAATTTTCATACTTGGGTTAGTCTTCATGCCAGTCACGAAACCATGGCTTTTCTTCAGAGAAATACACCAGAAATGTGCCACTGGCCCTGCAGCCAGCAGAGCCACCTTCCTTGCTGAGGCTGGCCTCAAGCACCTGAGGGGCTCCACTGCCCACAGATACACTGCTTCCAGATCCACAAGTGATGCTTTGGAGATGTGCCAACACACCCACAAGCTCTGCTGAAACACAGATATAATGGGTTGGAGGTACAAGTCCCCTGGCTCCTGCCTGGAACAGCAATGATTCCTGGTGGCTCCCATCTGCCATGGACAACAGGCCATGCCTGGGTATGCAGGATGCAGGCAGGCCAAGTCACAGATGCACACAGCCAGGAGACGTGTCCTGTCACTGGAGGCATTGCCAGACCACACAGCCTGGATTCCCCAATACCATAGTTCGAGATTCGGTATCAATAAAGAGACCCAGACCCAGGTCTCCCAAGTTCCAGGAGAGCAGCTACCTGATAGCACAGACAGATGTCAGGAAGCTGTAAACAGTCCCAGCCTATTTTGGGGACCTCTGCTGAGTTAGAAGTTGCCCATATACTCTGACCCAGTAGCCTCATCATGCAAAAACCCCAGTGCAAACCATGACCATGAGAAAAAAGGTTCCCAGAGTTATTATTCAGAAGTCATGATACACCCATGCATAAACTGCTCTGCAGAACGTGAGGGAGATGCTAGGGAACATGCAAAGTGGGAGTGAAGAGTTCATAGAAGGGAATCACTGAGTGGCAGTACAACAATCCTTTAACTCCTACAAAAGAACACAGCAGGGTTCTACCACCTCCCTTCTTCAGATCCTGCCTTTTATGAACCAAAGCCATCCTTACCTAGCAGGCCCATGTTGAACACTTTCAAGGGTTCCTTTCTGCCACCTGGCTGCTCAAGCACTGCTTTCCAACATGGATTTGCCTTTGCCTGACAGAAAGCTGAGCCATTCCCAGACCTCGCTGAAGGCTGGTGTGTGCACCCAGAGCACACTGCAGCATCTTTGGAGAATCTGCTCAGGGTCTAGTCACAGCAGGGAGCATTGCTCACCTTACCTGTCTACAAAAGGTTTTGCACCTTCTTTAGGCACGTGAAGAAACACAGTGAGAAAGGGAAGTGGAAATCAAGGCTGTCCCACTGGAAATGCTGGTCCCTGAGACAGACATGCTCCCTCTCCCAAGCAGGGAGGACTCCCACCACATCCCAGCACACACTCTAGAGATGGGCAGTGCCAGGAGCAGGCTAGAAGTGCCTGTGGGTGCCTCAGGACACACTGAGCAGAGGCAGGAGGAGAAGGCAGGGTGCACATCCTCATGAGCCCAGGGAAGTCCTTGGGAACAGCAGCCCCTCAGCAGGCAGCTGCAGCTCTGCCTATGAGACCAGGAAGCAAAAAACTCTATTAGAGAACATCTCCTCTGGCAGGGGCAATCCATCACAGAGCTTCATCCTTCTACCAGCCATTAAGGACAAACCTTGCCAGAAAGCCTTAAGATTATTTTTGGTTTTATGGAAAATGGTATTTAAGTGCATGTTGTGCTGGTGGTGCTGGTCCCTTCCGCAAATTCCATTTTCGGAGGCTGCAGAAAGTGTCACTTGCATAATTCTCCCTGATTTCACTAACACCCTGCTGATTGCCTGCTCACTTTTTCAGCAAGCTCTCTCTTACTGATTTCTTCTTGATAAAGTAATTTTCAAGGCTGCAATCATCATTTAACTCTCCAAAATGAGTCTTTCACTTAGGACACACATTGTCAGGATTCGGTGGCTTTGAATTCCTCATTCTCCCATTTTGTTACTAGATTCCATCACAAATATTTTCAGAACCTTTATTTACCCTAGTGCCTGTCTCTACTTACTCTTCCTCATCTAGATCTTCCTTTACTGTGCAAAAATTTTTGGCTAATACTCTAAATTTCAGTCCAATTGAGCAAATTTCAATTGAGCAAATCTTGGCAAAATGACAAAGATTTTCTGAAAATTTCAGGGAACAGTGCTGGGGGGGGAAAAACGGGCAAGCTTAAAGTATGCCACATATTGTGTCTGGCACCATATCTCTTCCACATTCAGGCATTTTATCCTGGACTTTTTCAGCAACCTGCACTATGTCTGTTAATTCTTCTGTATTTTTAATACCCTGTATTTCAGAGCAGCTTGGCTTTTTCTAAGTCAGAGTGAAACAGAAATGTCTCTCTGGTCTTCCCAGTCAGGAACCTCCCCCTCATAACTAGCAGTAAACACAGAGTTGACTCACCAGTGAAGGGTTTAAAAGGCAGCACAGCTTTGCAGTGCTAGGACAGCAGGCTCTCAGCCATGGAAATGCCCAGATTTCCAAGGGTATGAGCAGATTCTACCATTTTCTGAATCGCTAAATTCATCAAAACAGAGCATCAGGACTTTACTGCTAGAAGCAATTATTAGTGCTACTGTTTGATACCTTTCAAACACAGTTACACATGGATTTTTTGCTTAGAGGTCATTGGAGATGCAACACTGAATTCTAATCTAAGTGATACAATTCAATCCCAGCCAGTTCAGATACTAAAAAATCTGCCCTTTGGCCAAGTATGTAAATATTCCTGTCAGCAGACTGATCCATGCAGCAACCCTACCGTGAGATGGTCCTAGAGAGCTGTGCCAGGAAACCATAAAGCCTGTTTGCAGAGAGCACACACTGCACAGCCATGTCACAAAGCTCTTCACTGAGCAGGGACAAACCCCATAGGAACAGGTTGCTTTTACAGAGGGAAATAAAAAGGAAAAAATTCCTTAGCCATGATATTCACAGGTGATGCAATCCTTCCGAAAGCACTCTGGAGACTGTGTCAGCAGGGCACAGGGCTTCAGCAACAAAGCTAGTTTTACTAAAGCAGTTTCCAAGATTTTTGCTCCCCAAAGAAGCATTAAAGAATACCAGGTAGGTAGGCCTACCTGTGAGAAAAAAGCCAGACTACACCCTAGGACACATCATGCCCACTTCTGCGGTTTAGCTCACCTCTAGTTTACCCTGTTTGTAACAGCACTGCTGTGCACAGAGCCCAGCCTGGCTCTGCAGGTACATGAGCACTGAGCACTCTGATCCCACTTCCTAGGGGACCTATGGAGCTACTGCCAGGGCCAGGAGACAGCCTGCTGCAGGTCAGGCACTGCACAAGCCGCCGCTTCAGCTGCTTGTCTGTCAATTAGCATTTACAGTTAGCACGCTGAGATTTTTCATGCTTGTTGACAGCATTTTAATGATGACGGCTGGGGGTTGAGGAGGGGGAGAACTTGCCAAAAAAGTATCTCTTTGCTCTCAAGACTGAGATGACAGAATACAAATCATCAGTGCCAAAGCTTTTGCTAACTGTTTCTCTGAAAAAAAATTAGAGCATCCAAGAGTGACCTAGAAAATTGAAAATGTGAAAGGAGAGCTCTCAGAATACGGCCACTCCCTCAAATCACACCAGGCTTCCGCTTTAACTGAATCTATCCAAACACTAAAACTTCCAGTAAAATTTCACTTCGGAGCCTCCAAACAATGAGCTGACAGCATTCCAAGTATACCACCCTGTGGGTCATGCTTCAGCAGCTACAACTGGGACTGGGAAACCCCATGGAGATGTGGATGCAGCAACCAACACCACGATGGGTTACTGTGGAGGAATGTGCTCCAGTTCTCCAGGGGGATGACAGCAGCATCCATCCAGGATGCCACCATTCCTGGTCACAAGGAAGACCATGAGTGCTTGACTTGTGGAACAACAATTGTCAGTGTCACCTTTACAGATGACACACCTGGGGCGGCACACATCAGTTTTGGAACAGAACCAAGGCTCAGCTTGTGTATTAATCCACAAGATTAATAAGTCAAACTTTTCTTCTTGGCTACAAACCCCAAGGCAGTGCAGGAGGTGCCTCCACCACAAGTGAACCACCTTCAGGCTCCCTTTAGCAGCTGGCTCATGCACAAACCAAACACCACGTCAGCAAATTACTTCCTTATATTGTTTATGGTCTGATTAAATGAAAATTATCTGTTCCATGAACTGAAAGGTTCAGGTATCCTTTCTGCTGAGTAATAACCAAGCTGGAAGACTAATGTGGTTCAACATGATAAAAATTAACTGAAAATACCATTTGTAAACAGATAAAAAACTGCATATGAAGATTATGACAAAAGAATGCTTATGGGTAGCACAGCAAAGCAGTCACATTAAAATACAAGAACTAACCTTGTTTATATGATGTTAATTTAGGCCTCTTATGCATATTTACTATAATTAGGATGGTTATTCAAAAATCAGTATACATCCGTCATTTAAAAATTATTTACAATTATTAATGACTAATGTTCATTGCCTTGGGAATGCTCAGACACTACTCCAGGAAGCAGTCTGGGAATGCAGTGGATGCCCCTGGTCCCAGCAGCACTCCCCAGAATAAAAAGCTCCTACCATCCTCAGGGTATATTCCATCCCTGGCCTTCAAATGCATTGGATGGCACAGCACAGGAGACAAGGAGCTGACAGCACAAGCCAGGTTATCTAATTGGAACTGCAGATC